ATTGTTTACCCAGGTTCGGGCCCTCTCGAAGAGGTAATGCCCTACTCCTGCTCTTGTATATATTTTGTGGATGAGTACAAAGTACATGTGATTTACCTCGAGATCGTATGAATGAGTCTAATAGAATTTCCTCTACGGACAAAACTCCTCGGCTTATATAGGGGCCGGGGGGTACCTAAGGTTACACATGTTCGGTTGCATCTAGAGATAAACATGTCGAATATTTGAAAATGCCTTAAAGTGCACGCAAGTCTTCGGAAGATCATATCTTGAGTGGGGCCAGGCTGAACATGGCCCATTCTTCAGTTGTTGGTGGGTCATTGGGTCGGCCCATGGTGGTAGGCTGACGTGGTGAGTACCCCTAATTGAGGACACTATCAGTAGCCCATGAACTAATCTTCAAGCCGAGGACATTGATCTACTCCTCAGAACAACTTCAACTTCAGGTCTTCACCTTTGTAGGCTAGTTCTTGATATTCCATTTTTTTCTGAGCAGACTCTTGTCCGAGGACTCTAGGTCCGAGGTCTTCTATGCCAAAGTTGATTCCTTGTAGGCGAGGTGCATACGCCTTCCGAGGACCTTCAACAATTTCTGGAAATTTTCAAACCCCATACTTTGACATGCCCAATTAGGGGAGTTGTAGGGGGTCCCACGCCCCACTTTTGGTGGCATCTATTTAATTTCTTTCCCTCGATTCACGTACCCATGTAAGACACGATGCCGGGAAACAGGCGGGTTAAACACCAAGGACTCAAACGTCCCGTCTAAAAGAGGTCCAATTGTTGCATATATATAACTTGTCCCTCACCCCCTGGCTCTCCTTTGTCTTTGCATAACTTCTCCCTCCATCGTCGCTTTCAGAGCTCCATAACAATGACAAACGGCCCCAACTCGTTGAATCGCCCCAATGCCCCCCTCGAGGGAGACTGGAAAAGTTGCTCGGTTACCCAAGGGCAACTAAATTGGCTCGTCACTCAAGGGTACTTGCCCGATCCAAAGTTTGCATAGATCCGTCCTGGCCTGGTAGCCATGGATGATGGGGTCCTTCATGATAACTTTCCAACTCTGCATGGAGCAGAGCACATCTGCTTTATTCCCTTCCTTTTCCAAGGTCTCGGTTTTCTGATTCACCCTTTCCTCATGGGTCTTTCTAGAGTTCTGTGTCCATCTATTTTTTACTTTCACCTCCCGAGTTTCCAAGATATTTTCAAAAAAGCTGGATTCACTTAAAAGATCATTGTATTGCAGAGGGGGGGGGGGTATAGGGCGATTTCCGTGTCCAAGTTTCCCAAAACCTCCCTTCACTAACCGGTACAGAGCCAAGGTTACTTCAAACATGCCTTTGTAAGTGCCTAAACATTTTATAGCAAACTAGTGCACTGCATAGTGACCATTCGATCGGAAAGAACTCATCTCTGAGAGACCGATTTGACTAAGCACCACGAAGGACCAGAATCCTAATGTTCTTCCTCATTTGAATTGCTTTTGTAATTGGATAGTCATATTTTTATTTAGCATGCTGGCTCCTTGCATATCCTAGGTTGCTCAATTTTCCATGGATTCACCTGACGGGGATCTTCATAATCCCCTCAAATGGTATTGAAACTGACAGAGCCACTCGACAATTATAGGGTGTGCCACCTGAAAAAATGAGCATAACAAACAAATTGACCGGAAAAGGAATGTGACTAACCCTATTAAAAGAATCTTATAGTTTTTTGTGGGTTATCCCAAACTCGCTTTCCCCATGATATCGGGGTTTTTCTCCAAATTGTAACATCACTTATGTCACACGTGAAAGATGAAGTGGTCATACGAGGCAAGAGGGTTGAGCCCGCGTGGTCACATCGAACGGGCACAAAAGAGGCCGATGGATGTGATCCATCGCCCCACCCGACGCATAACACCGCCCAATTTCAAAACTCGGTTTTCCCGCGTTGTGGATTTACGGTCTCTTTACATAAGAGAAAAAAAGTTTCAAGAACTCGCCCTGATTCGGAATCCAAGTTTCATGTAAATGTTTCAAGAATCAAAACATGCACAAAAATAAAGAATATGTGAGCGACTGGACCTGACCATTGGAACTTTGGAAGTCCAAATTATGGAAGTCGTTGGGACCGACTAAACATTAGGTATCTGAAATTATGTCCAGCGTTAGTCACTTCTTTTTCTGTCGCTGGATCTTCATCCAACGGCTCACGCATCGTCTTCGACCTCCCAACCGCCTTCTTCTTCCCACCATCTGATATGTCCCGCCTCTGCAGCCGTCGGCCTGCCCCGACCCACCCGACTGCCTCCACCCCCGCGACCGGCGGGCGTTGCTGCGCACCGCCTCGCCGCCCCACCCTGCTCTCACCCCCAGCCTCCCGGGTTTGATCTTTGACCTCCCGGGTTTATGAAAAAAACTTCATAAGGCTTGATTCGCCTAACAGATCATTGTAAGTGCGATGTTGTGACGTCCAACTTTCTAACCCCACCTACTGGTTCGGAGCTGGGGTTTCTTCTTACATGCCTTTGTATGTGGATTAAATTTATTAGCCGACCAATGCTTACATAGTGACCATGATATGTGTTTTCAAATCGAAAAAAAAAATCATTTTTGAGGAACGGACTTTACTAAGCGCCTTCTTGTCATGAAGGAGCTGAATGATGTTGTTTTTTACCGATAGGTCTTGCTTGCTGTTTATTCAACATTGAATTTACGACTCATTTGATCTGTTTTTGCAATTGGCTAGTCATTCTCTTATTCAGCATGTTGGATCCTTATATTGGCTAATTTGCTCAAATTTTTGCGGAATTCAGCAAATGGGGTTCTTCATAATTCACCCAAATGGTATTGGAAGTTGCAGAGCCACTCACAAATTATAGGGCGTGCTATCTGAAAAAACAATCAGCATAACACATAAATTGACCATAAAAGGAATACAAATAACCCTATTAAAAGAATCCTAGAATTTTTGTTGGTTATCCCAAAATCATTATCCCCATGATATCAGGGGGTTTCTCCAAATTGTAACATCACATACGTCACACGTGAGAGATGATGTGGTCATCCGAGGCCAGAGTCTTGACCCCGTGTGGCTCGCATCAAAGGTGCGCAAAGAGGCCGATCGATGTTATCCATCGCCCCGTCCAACGCATATCACCGCCCCATTTCAAAACTCGGTTTTCCTGCGTTGTGGATTTATATAAGAGAAAAGATTTTCAAAATCTCACCCTCAAACACTGAAGCCCTCCAAGCACATCAAGGTTAGCAGAAACACATGGACTATGCGGAATGAGTCCGGAGTGGGGCTTGTCGGATTGTGTTACAACTGGAGATAATTTTTCTTTTGATGAGAAACATGACTTATGTCGAGACTAAACAACTAGGGGTCCTCGTTGCGTGTATCCATGATCCACATGTTCTCCTATATAAAGCAATTGGTGTCACTTTGTTTTCCTTTTCAACTCCCGAGTTTCCGAAAAATCTTCAAAAAATCTGGATTCACTTAACAGATCATTGTATTGGGGAGGGGTGGGGGTGGGAGTATATAGTGCGATGTTGCCATGTTCAACTTTCTCAAAACCTCCCCTCACTTCCCAATACGGAGGACGAGGTTTCTTCAAGCACGACTTTGTAAGTGGCTAAAGATTTAATCAGCGAACCATTGCCCTGTGCAGTGACCCTGATACTTTCTTTCCAATCAGAAAGAACTCATTTCTGAGAGACGGACTTGATTAAGTGCCTTCTTGTCAAGAAGGAGCTGGATCCTAATTTTTTTGACCGATAGGTCTTCCTCATTCGACCTTCTTTTGCAATTGGATAGTCATTTTTCTATTCAGCATGTTGGATCCTTGCATGCGCTAGGTTGCTCGATTTTCCTTGGATTCAACAAATGGGGGTCTTCGCAATTCCTTCAAATGGTGTTGTGGCGGAGCCACTCGCAAATTATAGGGTGTGCCACATGAAAAAAATATCAGCATAACACACATAGTGTCAAATTGACCGGAAAAGGTATATGAATAACCCTATTAAACTAATCCTAAATTTTTTCGTGGGTTACCCCAAATTTGTTTTCCCCATAATATCGGGGGGTTTCTCCAAATTGTAACAAAACACATATGTCACGCGTGAGAGATGAGGTGGTCATACAAAGAAAGAGGGTTGGCCCCACGTGGCTCACATCGAACTGGCGCAAAGAGGCCCAAAGATGACCCATCGCCCTGCCCGACATAGCACCGACCAATTTCAAAACTCGGTTTTCCCGCGTTGTGGATTTACGGATTGGACCTGGTGATTGGAACTTTGGAGATCCAAATTATGAAACTTGTTAAAAACCAAGGGACCGACCAAACGCCGGGTACCTGAAATTATTTCCCGCGTTAGTCACTTCTTTTTTCTATGCTGGATCTTCATCGAACGGCTCACACGTCGTCTTCCGCCTCCCAACTGCTTTCTTCTTCCCATGATGCGTTCCTTTCCGCCTCCCAACTGCTTTCTTCTTCCCACGATGCGTTCCTTCCCGCCTCTACAGCTGCCGGCCTACCCCGTCCCATCCGCCTGGCTCACCCCTCCCCCCGGCGGCCGGAGCCCCGGCCGGCGCTACCGCGCACCGCCTCACCGCCCCGTCGTCCCCTCAACCTCCACTTAATTAGCATTGTTGCTGGCCACCGACCCGGCCATCCCTCTAAGCCCCGCCGCAACAGAGAAGAACTCCGGCTATCCCCTGCATCCCCACCCCTAATAATAAGACAGATACCAAGGCAATTATTTCACTAGACGGTGGGCCAAAAGCTTGTACGGTGAGATTTTTACTTCCCCGGTGGCTTACCCCTAAGATCCAAGGAAGCGGTGACCTGATCTAAGCGAAACCCCAAAACCAGTCGAGTATAAATACTCTCTCGGCTCGATGCGGTGAGAAAGCGACCGCGTCGGCAGACAAATCTCACACGCTTCCCGTCTTCTCTTCTCCTCTTCCCTGGCGCGACACCGGCGCCGCCGCGGCGAGCGGTTCCGATGGCGGCCACGGGCGGCGGGAGCGGAGGCGGTGGCGGTGGCCGACACTGGATCGAGGCGGAGATGCCCGATTTCCGGGCCAGGATGCGCCGTATCTACCTGTGAGCAG